GGAGGCTGAGGCAGGAGGATCGCTTGAGCCCAGGAGTTTGAGGTTGCTGTGAGCTAGGATGACACCACAGCACTCTAGCCCGGGCAACACAGTGAAACTCTGTCACAACAAAAAAAAAAAAGGTCTTTTAAGTGGTCCATAGGCTGATGTCTTGTAACAGTTTAAGATACTTTAATGTCTATACTGTTGTTTTCATAATTTAAAAACATGAATTAAAATTTCAAATTTCCTTTTGAAATATGATGAAAGTGATTAAAGCATCTTTAAAAATAGAAGTGCTTTATTTTTTGGTAGAAAAAAGGGAATATTCCACAAAATATCACAAACCTAAACAAAACTAGACTTTTTTGAGGTTATGATCAGTGAATTTCAGACATGTCTAAATTACCTCTCTTGCTGCCAGAAGCTGCTGTACAACAGCAGAGCTCACTGTGTTAGGAATTGTCAAGATTTTCTCCAAAATCACTTTTAAGAGATCTCGAACACCCTGATGTAAGAAAAAAGACACAGGTTAAAACTAAGTAATATCCCCTCTGTTAGTTGAAATATCCAAAGGTTTCATGATTATAAATTCCTTTAAGGTCACACTTTTAAATTTTCTGATTCAGAGTTAACATCAATTGGAGTCCTTAACATTAACCCAAGAGAAGAGCCATGTTCTAAAATAGAATTTTAAAGAATGTCTTGCAATATGAATAAACAAAGAAAGTCACTTATATTCTCATGAAGTTTCTACTGTTAAGAGGGTCAAAAAGCTTAACTTATACAAATGGATGGAAATATATTAGAATAGGACTTGAAAGCACTCTGAAAACGTGGGTAATGATATTTAAGTTTTTGGCAGATCACTCTTTCTGCTCACTCCCTTTGGTATTACCTAACTTTATTCCCCATTCTCATCTATCACATGCCTTAATCTCGCAAGCATGTCCAAGGCTATTCTGTTAATCATCTCCACATATCTAATACCAGTTGCATTACCTGATATATAAAAAAGAAATTTCATTCAACATGCATTTATTGACTGTAAACTATGTGACCAAGCTTGCAAAAGGACAGAACATATGCTTGGGAGAACAATTGTAAAGCACCATACAAATAAGTAAGAAGGCAAAAATGGCATAAGTCTGAGTAAAGAGAAAATCAGAAAAGGCTAGAGTTAATTTTATGTTAAATCATGATTCAAACTAGTAATTATCTGTTAGGTCATTATCTGTTAAGTCACTTCAGATCAGAGAAAATGCAGAAATAAAGCATAAGGTCAGGTATTGGTAATTCCTTGAAAAAGGACAACAAAGGTGGCTTGAAGAATGGTTTTTGTAGCTGTGAGTTCCAGAGCTGTATTATGAGACACAATCAGAGAACGTATATTGTTACTTCAGGTCAAGAGCAGAGTGCTTAAGATGTTAGTTAAGTAAAGACACAAGTCCAACAGAGGTCAAGTTAGAGGTGACGTAGGTCTTGCTCCCTTCATCAGCTGATGTCTACCTCCCTCCTCAGTTCCACATACCCCTGCTCTGTGCTCTTTCATCTGAAGCCCCAGCATCATAAGACTTGTGCCATGCAGGAACACAGATTCTGCTTTGTGCCTTCCCTACTCATCGTAAAAATATATTAGCCATCTATATTTTTAAGTAGAGAAGTAGAGAAGCCATAGGAACAACTGAGTAATTTTAAATCCTTTTAGGAAATACATAATCAAAAACAGATTTTGTAAATGCTTCCACTTCATTTCTCTCACCTGAAAATTATATACAGAAAAATAAATCATATCTGAAAGCAATCACTTTTCATAATTAGAAAAAAAATACCTTGTAATCCACTCCCCCAATTATTTTCCGAACCAGTTTAAATGTTAAGGCCCAAAGCTGTGTTCTTTCCCACTCAAGAGTGTCAGAGTTTATTAGGGATTCACAAACCATCCTAGAAAAAAGAAATACCCATTCCAGTTATAAGACAGAATTTTCCAAGGTCTCTAAATCCATGGTCTGTGTACTCCAAGTATTATATTTATCATAGCAAGTATTTTTCATAAAGGAGCATTACTGCTTAAACACACTTTTAAAGATATATAGCATTTTACATTTTTTACTTGTATGAATGGTCAAAAACAAAGTAGAACTAAGTAATATTCATTATGTTTTAATTTCACTAGAAAGAAGTCTATAAAAAGCTTTTGCTCAAATGTTTACCATCTATCACCTGTGCAGGCTGCACTTTTCCAAGATGGCAGCAACAAGATTTTTGATATCACATGCTCTTCTGAAATGTGACGCTGACAATCCTTACATGGGGTGTGGGGGTGGGGGGATACCTTCTCTCTTATCTCTTAGATCTGGGCTGGCCTAAGACTATAGCAAAAAAGGTACAAGGATGAAGTATGACTTCAAGGGAAGGTGATATAGCTTCTGCCTAACACCTCCCTTGCACCCTTGCTCTTGGATTCCGCCATGCAGTGAGAAAGTCCAGACCACAAGACGAAGCATGTGCAAGTTCTGGCCCATAGTCGCAGCTGAGGTCCCATAAAACAGCCAGGAACCAAACACTAGACATCTGTATGAGGAAGTCTTTGTTGTGACTCCAGCCCTAGCCACCCTGAATTGTAATCACATGAGACACTCAGAAAAAACTGCTTAAGTTTAGTCACCTACCATACCATGAATAATAATAATAAAATGATTATTATTGTTTTAAGCCATGAAATGGTGAGGTAATTCGTTGTGCAGCAAAAGTAAACTAGAACAAACTAATCACTAAAGTGAGTGATCTCAGCCCCTGGGCAGAAAGGCAAAGGCTGCCTGGTTTTGAACCTATAAGCATTACTCAATTCAAAGAGTACCGCATCCTAGGAACTAAAACCTGAGGTATCATGAAGGATAACCTGATGAACCTCACTTTCTTCTTCATTCCTTTATCCCTTCACAACAACCTCAACTGATTTCCAACCATTTACACAGACAGGACAATTCTTTGGATTGTTCGTACCCACCATTAAACATACCTGGGTGGAAGGAGACCAGTCTCAACTGCCATTGCTAAGCAGTCATAAAGAAAAGAAATTCTTTTAGGACTATGCTGGCCATGAATAAACTTAACAATCCACTGGATGCACTGTTCATGAGACTCCTGGAAAATTTAAAAATGTTTTATTTTAGGACTAAGTTTACATGTTATAACGAACAGGTAGCTAATACTATACCTGGAAGTATATCAAGACTATGAATGAAATACTTCACTATGAACATCTCTGGATGAAAATAATTTTTTAAAAAGATTTTAAAAATTCAGATTTAGTATCTGTTATATTAAGCTTAAAATCTTGCATTACATATATTAAACTCCACCATTTTTATTATGTAGGACCTCCGAAAGTAGTAAGATTTTATGGACATATTCACGGTCGATAGAAAACTCTAACACAGATTGTGTAAGGCACTGTCAACAATGCCTTTAATGGCAGATGTAAATATTACTGTCACTGGGAGAAAATCTGTTATGGAATAGTATCTCAGCCTTATGAGAATTTAGTGTGAATTTAATCCCTAAGAGCCCAAATGAGAGCCCATAATGAATCCAATGACAAATCAGATTTCCAGACTTGCAAAACTTTAAATCTAATACCAAAATGTTGTACCCATATCAAAGTTTGTCTTCTATGATATTTCCAAGAGAAGCCTATAGTGTCTGGCTCCCTGCACAACCACTGTTCTTCATGCACACTTCTATCATTGTACATATAATAAATATTTAGAAATACCTATTTTCTTCCTGGCTCCCCTAATAGGAATATAAACTTTTTTTTTTTTTTTTGAGACAGAGTCTCGCTCTATTGCCCAGGCTAGAGTGCCGTGGCATCAGGCTAGCTCACAGCAACCTCAAACTCCTGGGCTCAAGCGATCCTTCTGCCTCAGCCTCCCGAGTAGCTGGGACTACAGGCATGCGCCACCAGGCCCAGCTAATTTTTTCTATATATTTTTAGTTGTCCAGCTAATTTATTTCTATTTTTAGTAGAGACGGAGTCTTGCTCTTGCTCTTGCTCAGGCTGGTCTCGAACTCCTAAGCTCAAGCAATCCTCCCGCCTCGGCCTCCCAGAGTGCTAGGATTACAGGCGTGAGCCACCGCGCCTGGCCTAGAATATAAACTTCTTACAGAAAAGGGCCACATTTTAACTCATAAAATGTTTAACAGGTTATTTTTTTAATTAAAATATGTTCCAAATATATTCAACATCACTGAGAGAAATAAAACTATACTGAGTGAAATTTTCTCATGTTTTTGATTGGCAAAGACCAAAACGTTTATTAACACTATTGTGAAGCTACAATAGACAAAACAATCTCATACATTGCTGGTGGGAGTGTAAACTGGCATAACACTTATGCAAAACTATCTGCAATTTCTATAAAAATAAACACACATACCCTTTCACTCAGCAATACTACTTTCAGAAATTTATCCTATATCTCATGCATAGTATTATTTATTATAGCATTGTTTAAAGTAAAAGAGTTAAGAAGAAACCTAAAAGTCAGTCAGTAGGGGATTGGTTAAATAAATGAAAGTATAGCCATGCAATGGAATATTATGCCACTTTAAAAAAGGAAAGAAGGAATGTAAAAGTAACTCTAATGGCCTAATACAGAATTACCTTCAAAATGTATTAGGGGAGAAAGGCAAGGTGCTAATTAAGGAACAATGTACGTGACATATGACCATTCTATAAAATGATTCTATATCCATAAAATACTTCCAGAAGGAAACATAAACTGGGGATACTGGTTGTAGAAAGGAAAAAGAAGAGGTTAAGAGATGGAAGGGACACTAGTCACTGGATCCACCCTTTTATACCTGTGCATTTTGATCCATATAAATGTCTCAACTGTTAGAAAACTATTAAAACAGAATTTTAAAATATGAACTGTCATTGTATGATCCAAGTCTGAGTGGCAAATCTTACCACCAGTGGCTGCATGCAAACACAGTTCTCATTTCCCTACCTACAGTGCACCATGAGAACACAATGCACTCCTGGAAGGAGATCTTCAAGATCACACATTTTGCTTTCTCATGTAAACATTTTCTGGTACAATGCATCTGTTCTTTTTTACTAAGTTGTATTGCTCCTTTCCCCATTTGTACTATAATATCTTTAGATGTTTATTATAGACTCTTTGCATTCCTACTTTAGCATCTTTGTATCTTTACTGTGGCATCTCGATTGTAGCATCTTTGCATCAATGTTGCGCCAGTTCATTTAGTAAACAGAAAAAAAAAAGAAAGAAATTCTTATTCAAGTAAAGCTTATGGTAACTTTTTTTTTGCTTTGTTTTGTTGAGACAGGATCTTGCTCTGTCACCCGGGCTAGAGTACAGTGGCATTATCATAGTTCACTGCAACCTCAAACTCCTGGGTTCAAAGGATCCTCCTGCCTCAGCCTCCCAAGTAGCTGAGATGGCAGGCACGCCTCCACACCCCGCTAATTTTTCTATTTTTTGTAGAGACATGATCTCCCTCTTGCTCAGGCTGGTCTGGAACTCCTGCTGTCGAGTAACCCTCCCACCTTGGCCTCCCAAATTGCTAGAATTACAGGTGTGAGGCACCACGCCCGGCAAACACAACTGTTTTGAAGTGTACCAAAGAAATCAGAATAGGATGAAAATGGTCTCATATAATTTAACCTGGGGGAGATTTTTAAAAACATGTCACACTGTGCAGTCATTAACTTGACTTCTCAATACAAGTTCTCCACTGAAGCTTACGAATTAAAACAAATAGAAACCAGAATAAAAAACGATGGCAACTTTACTTTTCCCTTTCCAGAAAGATCTTAAGAGCAACATCAAAGTAAATGTAAAAAAAGAAGAGGCCAAAAATCATCAACTGAATGTATTAAAAATGTAGTGCTCACCTGAGAAAGACCACCCCAAAACTGTCTGAAGGCCCCCAAACAGCTAATTAGTTTTGTTTTTTCATCTTCAGGGGTATCCATAAACATGCTAAAAAACAAAAATTACGTTATTTGCCACTAGTCTTTAAGAGGTAATTAAACATAACCAGAATAGTGGATCTTATAACCCTCCAAGGCGAATCTAAATAAAATCTTACAAAGATAGAACTGTGTAAAAACGCAAAAATCTGCCATGCATATACTCACCCAGGGAAAGCCTCTTCTATAATTTCCGTCTTCTGTAACAACAACAACAACAAAAACAACCGTAAATAATGTTAATTTTAAAAGGAAGCCTCCCTTAGTGAAATATTATAATGTAACACAGGGCGAGTCATCTTAATGGGCGCTGAAACTAACAATACCTGCCTGGCCTGTCACAAAGGGTGCTGTGGCTTTCAAAGGCTGCATTGAACTTGACAGCAGTTTGAGAATCACTGAACCCCTACATACACACTCGGTGTCAAAACAAAGGGGAGCAAAGGCGAGGCGTGAGAGGAGGTTACCCAGGCCAGTTTCCTTGATCCGCTGCCCCCGAGTCTCCCCTCCCCGCGCCATCCTCCTGGATCGCCGGCAGTTGCTTGCACTCACCACCACCTCCTCAAAAATGCTCTGCAGCTGCGTCTCCATTTGTACCATCACCTCCGCCTTCCCGGGGCGCCCGGCAGGGCCCGGGCCAAGCCCGAGTTTCGGGAATAAAGGGACGCAGAGGCGGGGACGTCCGGATGTAACCGCAGCTCCCTGGCGTCGCTGCCCTCCCCCAGCGTCCCCTGGGGAGGGTTCCCCGCAGAGCCCCGCCAACAGCAGCAGCCAGCGCGGAAGCGGGGAAGGGGCCGGTGCACGCCGTTTATAAAACCCTCAGAAACCAGGAGCCCTGCCACATGGTTCTGTTTGTAGAGCAGGGCGGCCCGCAGGCCGTACGACAGCGCCCCAAGCGGAGCTTCTAGCTAAGTCACCCGGCGGAGGCCTCGACTGCAGGCCGCCACCTCCCGACCAGAACGGAAGTTGCTTGGTGCTGGGGCTAAGCCTTTTGCCGGCTGGGGAGAGAAAATCTTGAAGCGCAGAGGCTGCAGCCTGCGGAAATGCTCCAGCTGCCGCCTGGACCCAGCTGATGTCTGTGAGCAGCCGGCCTGGAGCAGCAGACTGCTGTGGGGAGTTCAAAGCACATTTTTCTTGATCACAGGGGCCATGTCTTCTTAGCTGTGATAACCTCAGTGCCTAGCACAGTGATGGACACGTAGCCATCTTTCAATGAATGCAGAAAAACCAAATGAACGCATTATTACTTTTTAATTAGAATCATGTAATAATAACATCTACCACTTTTAGTTATAATGACCTAAAAATAATAATATTTACCAATTATTGGATACCTGTGGCCTTTTCAGTGGGGGTAGGGGTGAGATGAATGACAGAGCCAGCGTTATTATAATAAAATCCAAGGACCCTAACAATCTATTGTTCCTTTCTGTATGTTTACCAGGTTATCTTATTGTGAATTATCTTTGATTAGATTTTAGTTCCAAGACAGTTTTCATCTACCACCCGGCAGCGTTCCACGCTTCCTCTCCATGTTGTTCCAATCAGTGTATTCTCAGCAAATGCCAGATAATCTTAATATTGGACATGGCTTTTAAAATTGGCCTCGGTCAGGGAAGAATTTTATTTTTTCCACAACAAAATACACAGTAAGCTTTACATTATATTTGCTGATGCTCCATTCACTGAATAAAAATTGACTATTTGCTGGGTGTGGTGGCACAGGCCCGTAATCCCAGCTATGTGGGAGGATTGCTTGAGCCCAGGAGTTCAAGGCCAGCCTGGGCAACATAACAAGACCTTGTCTCTATAAACAAACAAACAAACAAAAAATTGACTATCCATTTCCAGACTTTCTTAATGTGTTTCCCCATGCTCATTTTCAATGATGTATAATTTATTTACAATAAAATGCATAAATTTTAAATGTATAGATCCGTGAATTTTGACAAACATTCACACTTAACACCTCAGCCAAAATTAGAATTTTTCTATCATCCCAGAAAGTTTCTGGTGTCCCTTTGCAGCCAACCCTTCCTCACCACCCCCAAGAAGCAAATACTTTAAAAATTTTGTAATCATTAATTAGTTTCCATGTTCTTGATATTTATATGGAATCATACAATACATAGTCTTTTTGTGTCTAGCTTCTTTCACACAACATTATATTTGGAGATCTATCCATCTGTGTTATTACTGAGTAGTAGTCCATTGCATGAATATACTAAAAATTATTTATGGATCCACCTGTTGGTGTATATTTATGTTATTTTCAGTTTTTTATTATTATGAATAAAATTGCTATGAACATTCTCAACAAGTCTTCAGCTCCAGACCTAAGTTCTCTTTTCTGTTGCGTAAATACCTAGGAGATTTGGGGGTTATATGGTAAGTATATGTATAGCTTCTTAAGAGATTGCCAAGCAGTTCTCAAAAAAAAAAAATTATTTTCTTTGTTACCATTTTACACTCCCACTACTAAGATATGAGAGTTTCAATTGTTCTACAGCATTCTCAACATTTAGTATTGTCAGTCTTTTTATGTCTATCCATTTTAATGGATGTGTAGTGTATCTCAGAGTGGTTTAATTTGCATTTTCCTCATAACTAATGATGTTGAATATCATTTTATGTGTATCTTATAGTCTATTCAATTATTTTTTGCCTGCTTAAGTCCTCACCCATTATTAATCAAGGGATTTCTCATGTTATTTTTTATTTGTAGGAATTCTAATACATTCTTGACACAAGTTTTTATCAGATATATGTATAGTGAATGTTTTCTCTCTGTCTTGACCTACTTTTTCATTTTTAAATCACATCTTTTATTAGTAGAAATTTTTAATTTTGATGAGGCCCATTTTGTTGATTTTTCACTTTTATGGTTATTGTTTCAGTAACCTAAGAATCTTTGTCTACCCTAGGGTTATGAAGACATCTTTCAATATTTTATTGTAGAAATTCTGTAGTTTTAGCTTTGATGTTTAGGTTCATGATCCATTTGATTTATTTTTTGTGGATGGGGAAGAGGGGACATGACTGTCTCCTCCTCTGTTCCAGAGGGGTTGGGGCAGCCACCCAGGGTGAGACCCTTGCCCTGATGAGTCCAGAAGACAGAGCATCAAGCCAAAAAGGATTACCCTCAAATCTTAAAATTGAATCTAATTTGCCCTGTTAGGTTTCTGACTTGCTTGGGACCTGTGACTCCTTTCTTCTTGACTATTTCATGCTTTTCGAATGGAAATATTATCCTATGACTGTTTGCCCACTGCATTTTGGGAGCAGATAACTTATTATCTGTTTTCACAGATTCACAGCGAGAGAGGAATTTTGCCACAGGATTAATCGTACCTCAAGTGTCATCCATTCATTATGGCACCATGTGTTGAAACAACTTTCCTTTCTCTACTGAACAGCTTTGTATTAGTATGGGTCTGTTCTTGGACTCTCACTTCTGTTCTGTTGTTCTGTTTGTCTATCCTTATGCCATATTATCTCAAGTGCTGTAGCTTATTAGTGAGTCTTGAAATAGTGTAAGTTCTCCAAGTTAATTTTTTTCTGGCTAATTTTTGCTATGCTAGGTCCTTTGCATTTTCATATAATTTTAGAATTAGCTTGTCAATTTAGACCAAAAATTTAACTGGAATTTTTATTGGAATTGAATTAAATATGTAAAGTAATTTGGAATATAATTGATACCTAGACACTATTGAGTTTTTCATTCAATTTACAGGGTAGATCTCTTTATTTATTTAGTGTTCCGGTCTTACCTATTTTTGTTAAATTTATTCTTCAGAATTTTATGGGTTTTTTATTTTTTAAACGCTATTTCAAATAGCCTTTTAAAAGTTCCATTTTTCAATTGTCTTTTGCTAGCATCTAGAAAAAGAATTGATTTTTGTATATTAACCCTTTATCCTGTGACCTTGCTAAATTTACTTCTTAGTGTTAGTAGCTTTTTGCAGATCCCTTTAAATCATCTGTACATAATCATGATAAACAGCAAATGAAACAATTTTGCTTATTCATTTCCAATCTGTATGCCTTTCGTCTCTGTTCCATGCTTTATTGTACTGGATCTTCGACAGTACAATGTGGAATAGAAGTGATGAGAATGCATCCTTGCCTTGTTCTTGATCTTATGAGGAAGATGCTTTCACCATTAAGTGTGATGTTAGCTGTAGGTTTTTCATTGATTCCCTTTATCATTTTATTGATGCTGTTTATCATATTGAGGAAGTTTTTGTCTATTCTTGGTTTACTGAGAGTTTTTAACATTGATCTATGTTGAATTTTGTCAAATGCTTTGTCTCCCTCTATTGAGAGTATTATATAATTGTTCTCCTTTACTTTGTTAATATGGTCAATTTAATTGATTAACTATTTTTTTTTTTAATTTTTGAGACAGGGTATCACTGTGTCACCTAGGCTATAGTGCAGTAGCTTCATCACAGCTCACTGCAACCTCTAACTCCTAGGCTCAAGCAGTTCTCCTGCCTCAGCCTCCTGAGTAGCTGGGCCTACAGACATGCGACACGATGATTGGCTAATTTTTTCTATCTTTTGTGGAGATAGGTCTCACTCTTGCTCAGGCTGGTCCCGAACTCCTGGCCTCAAGGAGTCCTCCCACCTTGACCTCCCATAGTGCTAGGATTATAGGTTTGAGCCACCATGCCACCATTCATTGATTTTTGAATGCTGAACCAACTTTACTTCCATGCTATAAATGCTACTTGGTCATGATATATTAGCCTTTTTATATATTTCTGAATTCTATTTGCTAATATTTTGTTGAGATTATGTGTTTTTCTTCACAGGCCACTATCATTGCCAACCTCTGAAACATCTGTTATGCCTTTTCAATAATCGACATTCTTTACCTCATAAAGAGAGCTGCTGATGGAAGTCATAGACCACCAAGGCCCTGAAACTTCTCTGGGGGCCATGGAACACCACAGGCTGCCCTGCAGGAGCTGCTCCCTTATAGCTGCTGAACGATGAGCTGATGTCTCCTCAGTCATGGTTTCTACACGAGTCTTTGACCTGGCAGAAACTTAGTTTCCTAGTAACTGTAATATGCACATGCAACCACTACGTGTCATTGTTACCCACACAATAACCACTATAAACTGAGATGAAACAACTCAAATTTACTGCTGGGGAATAGATTGAAGAGTCAGGCTTAGTATATTAGTTTGCTAGGGCTGCTATATCAAATACCACAGACTTGGTAGCTTAAACAACAGAAATTTATTTTCTTACATTTCTGGAGGCTAGAAGTCTGAGATCGAGGTATTGGCAGGGTCAATTTATTTTGAGGCCTCTCTCCTTGGCTTGTAGATGGCTGTCTTCTTGTGTTTTCACATGGTCTTCCCTTTATGCATGTCTGTGTCCTAATTTCTTCTTCATATAAAGTCACCAGACATATTGGTTTAGGGCCCCACATTAATTACTTCATTTTCACTTATTTAACTCATTAAAGACTTTATCTCCAAACGGAGTCACATTATGATGTATTGGGGGTTAGGACTTCAACATAGAAATTTGTGGGGAGGGGAACAACTCACCAAAACACTCCACTCTCTGGCCCCTTAAGTTCCTGTCCTTCGCACAATGGAAAATATATTCACCCTCATTCCAACATCCCCCAAAGTCTAAACTCATACTAGCATCAACCCTCCTGTCCAAAATTTTATCTAAATATCCTCTAAATCAGGTATGGGTGAGACTCAAGGTATGTTTCATCTTGAGAAAAGTTTCTTTTCAGCTGTGGAC